TGAGCTGGTTTCCATTTCCTTGGGAGCATGGGAACTTTAGGAAAGCCGGCTCCTAAGGAATACGATGGCTGAGCCTCCCCTGGCAACAGTTGCTTGTTTTTCCTCATATTGGTTGACATGCCTCATATGACCCATGAGTTAAATACAGTTGTGGATAAGCATGTGTGATCAAATAGCTCCTTACTTAAAAAAGATAAATAAAAAAGACCAAACCAAAAGTGGACACTGGGTACACATCCAGTCCCAAAGTGCACAGTGTACTGTACACAGCACAGTATGTCACCCTAAGTAAGGTGGTGTTGCTCTTCAGCTCTTGTGAGTGGTTTTTTCTCTGTTCAAGAGTAATATTTTTATGCTTTAAGAGTCAGTAAAGAACAGTAGGCTACTGATAGTAAAGCTTCTGAGTACTCAGTAATTGAAAGTTAATTCTAACCCAAACTTTTTTCTGTGATTTTGTCAAGGAATGGTTAGTGAAAATAGATCACTGTAACAGTGGGTTTGGACTGTTTACTTGTGACAGGGTAAACAGAACAAGTCTGACACTTTCAAAGTACATCCTCATGCCATTTTTTTCCAGAAGAAATGGAAAACTGTGCCATAGAACTGTGAAGAGATAAGGAAGACTGGTAGTCATGTGGATGTGAGCTTCCATTGTGATTCTGTGCCTAAAAGCAAATGTGAGGCAGGTTTATGTGTGTTTGCAATGACTCCTGCAGTGCTATATCTGGCTTTTAAGAAACACATTGAAAATAGGAAGGGATTCAGAAAAGCCATGAGAATGAGTATGAAAAAAAATCTTTTTGCTAATAGACTTGAGAAGCTTAATTCCTACCCCAAAAGAAGATAGGGGTGACTTGCTCACAATCTGAAAATAATTCTGAAAGTAAATTATTAGCTATGGTGGATTTTTCCATAAGGAATGATTTTTAGGAGGGTGTTTCTTTTTTCCTTTCCTAAAGAGAAATTTGGTCATCTCAACTCTGGTTTTAAAGCATGAGATGATTTGCCAGATAGCTGTGGTTTGTGTGTTACAGATTAGATTGGATGGTTCTAGTGAGTTTTCCTGGACTGAAGAAATGGTTGCAGTGGGAGCAACATTTCTGATAGAAAGGCTTGTTAGACTTGGCACCTTTTACAGGTAGCCTCAGCAGAGAGGCTGGGTTGAATCTAAGTGTGCCGTAAGAGTTCTTGTCTTGTTTTGGAGTATGTGAAGTCTCAAGTTTGCCTGCCTTATACTGCTAAATGAGGCTTTTGTTCAGGGCTGTTAACTTAACCCTCTCCTAGCCTAGTGATGCTTTAGATTTGCAGAAAGTGGGATGTTGGTATGTTTTGTTTGGGATTGTGCATTTTTTAATTCCTCCCTTACCAGATAAGTTTCAGTAATACAAGCAGTCTAAAGTGGTCTTTTTGTTTAAAATCAAACTCCTCTCTGACTGTTTGTTCTTCTGGAGTCTATCTTTTTCTTTCTGCTCGTGCTAAGAAGGATTTTAGATGAATGTGGTGCATTCTTCAGTTGAAATGCAGAAATTTTTGCCACGATACTTAATGTTTGTTTTAATGTGTTAGTGTAGGATTAAAAAGTGCTTTCATCCTAACCTTACTAGTATCTCCAAAATTGTTTTTGACCATGTCTAGAAACTTCATATGCAACCTCTTCTATCTTTGGAGAATAGCACATCAGGTGGTCTTTATGTGAGGTGTTGAGATAGTGACATGGAGTTGCTTGCTTGTGGACAGAGGAGCAAAGCTATGCATCTCATTGCACATCTTCTGATGGCTAAGTGATGCTTCTGAGCATAAAAGGGGAGTAGGTCCAGCAGCTTGCTTATAGGCTTGTTTGATTCTGGGACCCCAAGCACATGGTAGTAACTGATACCAAGTCTGAAGCTCAGTGGGAGGCACATGATCCGATTGAAGATGTCCCTGATCATTGCAGGGGGGTTGGACTAGAAGACCTTTAAAGGTCCCTTCCAACCCACACCATTCTAGGATTCTATGTGCATGTCTTAAAGTGAGATGACATCAGTTTTATTACTCTAGTGATGAGGTCAACTTCCCTATATTCTCAGCTGTTTGTATTCATAGATGCATGTCAAACTATAGAATGCAAATTGTCAGGTAATGTGGTTTTTGTGGTGTCTCAAAACAAGCAGAAAACACTAAGAAAGCAAGTGCAAAATTATTATTGTCATTAGCAAATTTAAAAAAAATGTGCACACTGTTCTGCTGAGGTTGATTGACTATTTGTATCCTTAATGATATGTGCAATCAAATAATTTCCTAATGATTAGCATTTCTGCTGTATGCCTGGGAGAAGGTGTAGCTTAATTGTCCTCTGTAGTCTGCAAAATGGCACAAACTGTTTGCAGCATCCGTGCTTTTGAAGCTGTAAATATGAAGGGAAGCTGTTTTTTAACAGGCTTCTATTGTATAAATAACTCAGCTTAGTCCTATTTAAGTTAGCATATTTTTTTCTGGAGCATGACTTTACATAGTTGGACTCTGGTCCATTTCTAAACAAAGGATGAGAATCACTGGGTCGTGTGTCTTCAAGTAGTATCTGGGTCTTAACATAACTGTCTTCTGTGAAACTTTTTGGATGGCACTGAGGAGGTTCTTCTGCTTATGCTATTCTACAGGTTTCTGGTATATTTTTGTGGCGTCAGATAAAGAATGCTAATATGTCATTGGCTGGACTTAATAGTTCTTAGTGTTTATATATAGCATACCCATAAATGCTGAATATTATCCTCAGGCAAAGTGTTTGCCCGATGACTTATAATTAAACTTAGAAATGTGCATGTGTTAAAAATAAGCTGCTATTTTCATCTCTTTAAATGCCATACTGCAGCCTAATTTATGCTTTTCTTTGAATATTTAGTGGTTAATTTTGTAACCCAGAGGTGGCAACCTGCCTTGAATGCTGCCACATCTTGGGTATTATAATAGTGATTATGAGAGATGCTGTATTCATATAAATGGAAATGTCTTGTTTCCTTAAGGAAATCCATAGTAACAATAGTGTTAAAATTGTCCCTGTTGTTTTGCAAGTCCACTGAGTGACTTTCTGATCACCAAGGCATATACTGAGTACGTAATAATTACAGGTTTCAGTGAGCTGGTTTTCATGTAAAGTAAGGAAAAGATAAGGTTAAAGTTTCAATGTGCTCACTTTTTTTACACTGATTAGATAAGGATTCAGAGCAGGCTCTTTCTAAATGTCCTAAGAGCTCAGTAGAAGCCTACAATTAGTAAGAGGATTTCTTATAGCCTGTTTGTCACTCATGACGAAGAACACTTCTAAATGCTAGCAAGGGTTTCTCAGACAAGCTGTAGCAGGTTTCATGCTCTAGAAGAGTTCAATTGCTAGGTAAAACTCAAGATACCTTGAGTTTGGATTCTTGGCCCTGTTGAATTGGATGCTTCAGGCACTAATATAAACGTGTCTGTGATACTGTAATATTCCTGTTCTCTTCCTGGTTGTTTTTGTCTTATAACCACAAAAAATTTCAGTGTCGCTCTTATCTCTTGCATACAGTGTGTTTGAGAAATTGCTTTCCTCCATAACAGCATGGCTTCTTAAACTGTGGTTTCATAAATTGGGCTTGAAGATTGTGAACTTTCTTTTGTTCTCATGGCTGACTGCTTTTTCTGTCCCCTTGTATGTTAGTCTCGTCATTGCAAGCTCAGACCTTAGTCAACTGAGATATGACTGTGTAAACTGTAGGGCCTCTGCTGGAACTACAGATGGAAACGTTGCAGCTTTGAGTTAACTTTTCATTTTTCCCTATGTCTCTTTCTGGAATAATTGCACAGAACTCCATTTCTTCAAAGCTGGGCAGTCACTGGATGCTTGTTTCAGGTGATCAGTTAAAAGCATGTGTTTCAGGGCACGATGTGGCATGGCCAAGAAACCACAGCCTTTCTACTTTAGTAGATGACATGCTCTCAGAGCATGTTATTTTCATAATCTCAGAAATACCTGAAATGTAACTGTAAGCATACGGCTTAGTAGGACATATCTAGCATGTTGCCCTGGTACTTGTACCTAAAGCTTTCATGCTTACTTATCTCAGAAGGGGAGGGGTGGGCATATTTTCTGTCTCGCCCCTTCACTGCCTTTTTGCATTGCAATGCTCGGAATATTAGTGGACAGCAAAAATGTACTCACCAGTGGTCAGACTTTTGTTTATTAATGGTAATAAAAGGTAACTTTTAAAGCTGAACTGAGTCTGGGTGACTTTGTCCTCTCCTGTGTTTTATGTTCTTAAACTCCTGACCTTGAGGTAGCACTCGTGTTCTTGTGGCGAAAGAGCTTGATTCCCAAGTATAGGTAGGTAACAGACTGTCATAGGATGTGTGTGTAGGGTGGTGTTCAGGGAACTTCTGAACTGCAAGGAGGAGTAATGTCTTCTGTGGGAAACAGCAAAATGTGAGAATCCTAATGATTCTAATTGCACTAGTTTATTAAAAGACCCTCAAGCTGAAGATAAGTCTGTCTTTGTTCTGAGATTTTGACAACAACCACAGAGGTAATGAGAGAGTAGTGACCAACTAACATGCCTCAGGATCATGCTAAAACTGGGTGTTTTCTTGTTAAACTTACTGCAAGGTCATAGGGTCGAAAGTGGTTCTTTGCCTCCTTTCTTCTTTCTTCCCCCATGCTCAAAGTAAATATCCATTAATTTTATGGTAGATGAATTTAATGGTGTATGTCAAATTTTGGAGTAATACAGGTGCAGAACAGCAGCCATATGCCTAAGATCTTTAGAAAGATTAAAAAAAAAAAAAAGGTGTAAAAGAGGCTTTTAATAGTATATTTATACCTGGTTTGGTAAGACTTGAAAGTGATTAAGTGACTTTTTCGTGTCTTAGCTATAGTCCAGCTGAGTCACTGCCTTACACAGCATTTAGTTAGGATTGCCCTTAAAATAAGCAGCCAACACGTGTTAAGAAATAAACCCATCCTTTTTATTGCTGCAAAAAGAAAAATAGGGCTTTTACAGCAGAATTGTTTCTGGAGACCATGCTGAAGCTCTTTATCTGAATGGGAACAGGGATATTTGTTTCGAAGAATATTGAGTTCAAGTCCATGTGGATTAATGTACTTTGCTCTGAGTTTACTGCCCAGTTTGAATCTTAAAGGAGCCATAGACAGTGATCTTTTTAAATACAGGGTCAAATGTAGAACAGAACAGGAAATTAGGAGGTGATGGTGGTGCTGCTGTTTGTGCTTACTGGAGGACACTTTTGCCTTTATTCCTATGGGTCTAATCACAGCAACTGGCGAGCAACCTGATCTAGTGAAAGGTGTCCCCGCCGTGGTGGGGGGGTGGAACTAAATGGTTTTTAAGGTCCCTTCCAACCCAAACATTCTATGATTGTAGTATTCCCAAAATGGTGCTCCGAGTAGAAACTGGTGATCGAGGTTGTGTTCCTGTGACCACCTAGTGGCCTGCATGAGGTCTTGATCTGCTCTCTCACCTGTGTCACGGCCTTGCTGCCTCTTCATTCAGTCTGTGCCAGAAGACTTAGCTGTGGAAGGGGCTTTCATGTCCTTATGAGTGGAGCAGTTTCACATCATACAACTGTAGTGCCTTGCAATTGGCATTTGGCCTGATACAGGGAATAGTTTGGCCCACACTATCCTAAATACAGCAGCACACTCTTACATAAGCAAACATAAAGTTATAGTTCTTTATTGCTCTTTTGATGTTCATTTGTTTTTCAAGATAAAATTACACATCCAGTATGAAGACAGTTGATGGCTGAAAATAAATTTGATTGCTTAGCGTTTTACCATTCTTTGTTGCAGCTCTCAAGTTCCACTTACAAATATAGGAGTGAGGAATTCAAGAGACAGTTTTCTCATCTGCCAGATTCCGAGAGACTCATAGTAGGTAAGATGTAATCACACAAAAAGTGCTTGTCTTCTAGCTGATAATTCCAGATTGCAGTAGTGCCAAGGCTTCTTTTTTGTGGCAAATTCTAACTATAGCTGATAACTTCCTATTTTTCTGTTTCTGAACTAACATCAAATACTTTCAGAGAAAGTCAGGTCCACACCCTTCTTCTGTACTGCCTGCTTTGTGAAAAGAGACAAATTCCTTCAGGAGTTTGAAAAGCGAAGGAGAGGGTACGGATCCTCCAGTTCATCTGGATACAGGATGGGAGCTTCTTAATGTATTTTCTCTCTGCTACTTTTTAGTACTGTACTTCCTGACAGCAGTGGAGATGTGACAGCTGTTAGCTGACAAGCTGATAAAAAAGATCGCTATGCAGGGTCATGGTGAGCACTGAACACAAACTCAGCGTATGTGTATTGGCTTGTGCAATGCAAGTGTGAGAAAACCAGGTAGAGTTAAATCCTGAGGGCACTGAATTTGTTGAATGTTCTTTCCAGCACAGACAACTTGATGTACCTCTTGTAGTGTCGTAAACATTTATTTTCTGTCCTGTAACCGTCTGAGTTCTTTCTTTAAAGCAACCAGTTTTGATGGAGTCAGTTGCCATAGATGTTGGTAGAGGAGGAAGTGATTCCATAGCTGTAACAGTTTGGTACTTGGATACAAAGGTAAGGGATGTTGCTCAGTGACCCTGTTAAGTAGTTAGATGATCTTTAGCAGGAGCTTTTCTCTTGCTCCCTGTAAGCCTCGACCCTTGCTCTATGCACTGGATTAATGTGACTTCTGGGACTGAGTGACACAGTGGGTACTTGCAATTTAAAAACCTCTTTTTGGAGACAAATGCCAGCTATGTGGTGTGAGGCCATAAAATTCAGCATTTAAGTGTGTAATTCCCATCAACCGTCATAGGATATCATTGAAAAACACAAACAAATACTCATTTTTATCCTGACTTAATGGTGTGCACTTGGATGTATTTGCCACCGTGGTATATTGAGGGCAGATAAAAATGTTTTGTGCCTCACTGGTATGTGCGCTTGTGGTTACTGCCATACTGAGCATGAAGTATGTTCTCTGGTGCTGTGCAAATGTTAGTTCTGGGTTGGCTCATGCCTTGAGCAGAGGTTTTTCACAGCCCAGTATACCAGGTTAGCTTACCCATGTGCTCATGACATGGGTGCAGGCATAGAAGTACCACTCAGCTGGAAGAGCAGAGGAGATAAGAGCGTGGGGTAGGAGGGGACAGAACAAGGTGGCAGAGATTGTCAAACTGTGGTGCATAACTAATGGCACCAAAATGTTCCTTTTGAGCTCCAAGTCCCTGTTTTGCTCCACTGCAGATTCAAAGAAGGTAAGCCTGTAATCCTACCTCCTTCACATGCAGTGATGCACCTTATTTCTCTTTTATAACTTGCCTTGCAGGTAAGTCTGCCTATGCTGCCCGAGTATTGTGTAACAAATATATACTGTCCCAGAATTGGGAGTTGTTTTAATACAAAGGTGATATTGTTTAAAGTTCATCTCTTATCTTATGCCATCTTTAAGGAAGTGAATATTGAGAGGCTGTCAGTGTATGTTTCCAGTTTGCACTGAGTTCCTTCCAGATTAATGGAAGAGAAATTCGTGCAAGTGACAGCTCTGAAACAGTTAACTACCTGTGTCCTTTTCCAGCCTTAGAAAGAAGCAGTTTTCCTCTGAAATGCCTTCTGCATTTTTAAAATACTTGAATTCAGTAGAGAAGTGAAACAGGAGAAAAGGATATTACTTCAAAGCATTGTTCTGGTGTGTCTCGTTACACAGGATTGATACAGAAAGCCATAGAGCAAACTCTGAAGCATAAGTTCAATGGACAGACTGCCTAAGATTCAGAGAAAGATTTAGTAATGGGTTAATCTCAAGAATGTAGCACCTGCTCCATCAGAAGCAAAGTCATTACTTTATGTAAATGGTTGGTTTTTTTTTTTACCCCATAAATAGTGCTTCTTTGGAAGGACTTTTTGCATCCTTCAAGCAAAGGGCTTTTCCTTTGCTTGTTGCAGAGAAACTTGTCATAGGCTTTACAGTGTTCAAAGAAGCAGTTACTTGCTCCTGTTCTTAGCTTAGCTGTCAAACTCCAAGCAGCTGCCACTGTAATGGGCGCTGTATATAAAGATTTTGTGAAATATTATTTTCTTATAGTGGAAGAGACTCTTGAAATGGGAGTTTAAAGGAGTGCCACTAATTTGTCTGAAAATATTTACAAGCAACATCTCCTTTTTTTGTGTAGGTAGGTCATGGTGTTGCTTATCACTTGTCCCTCTCCCTCCCCCAAACATAGAAGTCAGATACAAGCTTCTTGGTAATGCTTTCCTCACGTCCTTAACCTCAAGCTCCTGCTGATTTCCCTCTCCCTGCTCTCCCAGCATTTTGGTACCTGACTTCTCCTTAAACATGCACTTACAACTACTGATTTGGATTTCTTTCTTTAATTCCATTTGCAGTAATGTCTTCTATACATGCCTCATGCTTGTTGCAAGAAATTCTATTTCTACTTGATTATTTGAGGGAATTAAAAAAAGACAATTTAAAAAATCATAATAAAAGCTCTTGTAGATTCAGACTTGCCTTGAAGTTAGGATGGCAAAGGTCTCTTGAACCTCTCTGTATTCAGAACAACTGTGTTCATCTTGTTGTACACAAAAACAAAATTCTGTCTCAGACAATACCACATGCACTGCTTTTCAAAATAACAAAACTCTTTGATACCTCTAAAGGTAGAGTCAATAACATCCTGCATGAATAGGTACATTCTGGGTATTTTCTATACATGAGGTAACCTTCTTTAGGCTGGAGCTTCCAAAAGGGAAGTCTTAAGTTTCTAGTAGTAGTACTTCTGAAAATTCCTTTTGTTTGAATCTTCAGGCTCTGAAATTATGTAATTTGAGAGGTTTTTTTTTAAAAATGCAACAAAATCCTCTGGCCTGGTTTTTAATTAGCAGATATCTAATGATGGGTAATTGCATTCTAGATGAAATCTGTTTCCTCAATAGGGATGTTTCAGCCGCAGGCAGTATCACAATAAAAATGTCAGTCAGCTTCTGAAAATATCTCCTGCCTGAAGAACTGGGTAGCTTCAAGCTGCCTTTTAGTGTCTCACTCTGCAGATACTTTTAGCTAGAAATTAGAATCTGTTTAGTGGAAAATGATTATCTTACTACAACATATGAACTACTGTTATGTAGGAGTTGACAGTATAATCTGTTATACTATAAAAATGTTTGTGTATTCTGTTGTTTAGGCACTTTGAGGTTTGACTTAGAAGTGCTTCTCCCATCTTGTCTGATACGTCTTCTCTGAAAATACAGGATAATGCATAGGGGGATTAATGCATGGAATGCTGTCCTCACACTGACACTTCCATCAGCCCTGGCATTGGGGTGTTCCCAGAACAATGATCCAGATGCAACCCAGTACAAGCCTGCCTTCACAGATTTTTTTGAAGAGTGAAAGAAATAGCTTTCTATTTGTATCATTATACCCTTATCTCATTTTAAGGTAACAGGTTTGGGTCAGCTGAGCTGCATTAAATGAGTAAACTTGTTCTTGTTCCTTATACATAGATTATGCCTGTGCACTCCAGAAGGATATCCTGCTGCAAGGACGCTTGTATCTCTCTGAAAACTGGCTCTGTTTCCACAGCAACATTTTCCGATGGGAGACCACAGTAAGATCTCTTAGTTTGCTCGAATCCTTGAATCCCATCTCTTTGTCCTTGTACTATCAGGATGTGACTCCCCAGATCTTGCCCTGTAAATCTTATGCTAGTAACTTTGCACTGAAAAAATAGAACTTCCACCCCTGAGTGGAAATGCCGATCTGTTGCTCCATAAAATGAGAATAGCATTGGAGATATGTGAATGCTGAAATAAGCCCAATCCATCAGGCATGCAGGAAGGTGTTCAGGAGTTGTGCTAAAGCTGATCTTTTACATTTCTGGAGGACAATTTACCTCTCGTTACTAAGGAGAGTAGACCTATAAAGGAATGTAATATGTAATGTTCTCCTATAAAACGAGGAGCATGATACGGTACATGGTGTTGCTCTGTTCAAGAACTCCTCAGTGTTAAACCTTACTTGGTTTAGTCTCATACGTAAATATCAGCGTTTAAGAACAGCTAAAGAGAATCTGTAAATGACCTTGGCAAGTTCTCATATTGTGGTATGTAGCTTTTGAACAGTATGAGGAAAAGTAGATATTTGTGACATATTGGCTGTCTATTTCTGTCCAGTTAGGTTAATGAGTTAAAATTTTTCATTCAAGCAATTTTTGCATAGGATGCAGAAATAGCATGAGGCAGTGAATGAGAAAAGGAAAGTAACCTAGTTAATAGGTGATGGAGATGTGTCAAAATGTTCTGCATTAATCTCTTAAATTCTCTTCATCTCTTAAATTCTACTATGTGTGCTCTGAAGTACACATAACAGACAAGAAATAGCTTATGTACTTAAGACAATGAGGAGGTCTAGAAACATTTAACTGAAAGACAAACGTAATTTATCAGATGTATTTTATGATACAGTGTTTCTCATTGTAGACTTGAGATTATTATTTAAAAAAAATCCCTTTGGAATCACACCCTTGAATATATATGAAGTATTCAAAGACTGATTTATTTTTTTTTTTTTCAGCCAAAACAGCATATATCCTGGTAACCTCTTCCTGCCTGCCTAGCAGAGTGATATACTATGCAATATCAAAAGGCAGTCTGAGCCTATCAGCTATAGTGGTAGAGCAAAGTTTTGAGACCTCCTTAACAGGCTGTGTTGGTGCAGAGAGAAAGTGCACCTTCTGCATATACAGGAAAAAGCAAGATCCCACTGCTCTTCTATGCAGAAACATTTCAAATGCTAATATGCAAGGCAAACACACCCAAGCAGGAAGATTTCCTTGCAGTGTCTGGACTGCAAGTAAACCTCTGTGAAAATGGTCTAGATAGTCTGTCATCTGATCTATGTCCTACCTTATGTATAGCATACTGATTGGGATTGGCTTTCAGATCTGTGCTTTGTGTGCAATTGGGATTGTGCCTTAATCCTCGAGTGTTGCTGGATGAGTGGAAGGAAAGAAAAATGAACTACTTGCTTCTCTGGTCTAGTATGAAAGGAGATTAGTCTTAAGTCATCTTAATTTGCTTCTACTTTGGAATACTTGCTGTTAGCAAGTTGAGACAGTAATTGACTTTGTGATCTCAACTGAATTGCATCCCAGGGCTTGGATTTAGTTTGAGTTCCTCTTGCATGTTCTGTGACTTTGTAAATTTTTAGTCTTAACAGCTATTTGTAATATGTCTTATTAAATCTCTTTCTGCTTAGATTTCTATTGCCTTGAAGGATATCACTTTCATGACAAAGGAGAAGACTGCTCGGCTCATTCCAAATGCCATACAAATAGCAACAAAAGGAGAGAAGGTGAAAACCTGCATTTTAGTATGTTGGGTTTTTTGGGTTTTTTATTTAGTTGGGTTTTTTTGGTTTGTTTTTGTTTTGTTTTGTTTTTTTTTTTTTTTTGTTTGGTTGGTTTGTTTTTTTTAATGTGCAGTGTCCAGAACAGAGCACTTTGTTCTAGTTTTAAATCTGCATATGCAACTTCCCTGTGAAGTCTTCAAATGTGATTGCTATAAGAAGACAGACTTGGTAATCTGGTTCCTGTGCATATTGGCTTGATAATTCAACTTTAGCTTGATGCAGAATCGCCTAGAATCCCCCAAAGTAAGGGAGGTTTTGTTCCACTGATTCTCAAAGGAAAACCATTTTAAAGTTCAGAGCATGAATTCACAATATGTATCCTCCAGATCGCAAAGATTTCAAACAGGGGTTTAAAGTCCCCCTGGAATTTCAGAAAACTGTTGAAAACAAAAGGACTGTGATGTTATGGAGAAATCTACCCATAGGACATGTAATTTTATGTGCTGGGAAATGTAGTTTTTGGGTGTCTATTTGGAAAAACTGAAAAGCATGATGTTCTTATGTGCAACGCT